TTTTTTTTTTTCAATGTATATCAGTGTATAGGATTAAAATTAATATTTTCGGTGGATATTCAGTGTAATGGAAACTGTTCAGATGTGATCGTGTTAAAAGTTCTTCAGCACGTGTTTCGTGTTAATATATATACGAGGTGCGATCGGAAAGTTTCAAGACTGTGTCAATAGAGGGCGAACCGGATGTAGTACGAGCTTCTGCCGCTAGGGGGTGCGGCCTACATTCATAGTGAATCAGTGTGCCAGCCGGCATCATCGAATTAGCATTTGTTTCTTAGTTACGGGCGTTTTGGTAAATTGAAAATTCAGCTAAAGGGAAGGAGATTTGAGACGATAGAAGAGATTCAGGCAGAATCGCAGATGGTGCTTGACAGGCTGACAAAGAAAGATTTCCAGGGATGCTTCCAGGCTTGGCAGCGGCGCTGGGATCGTTGTGTTCACTCCCAGGGGAACTACTTCGAGGGTGATGGATGAATTTAATACCTGAGATAAGTGTACGGGTTTTTATACGCGCAGTCTGGAAACCTTCCGATCGCACCTCGTACATTTACATCTTAATAAATAAATTATCTCCGACAATAGCAAAGTTACGTCTATAAAACAAGATTTAAGACTTGATTACAGTATAACAGTTGGCCAACCTGAGCACTGATTCTACTAATAGTTTTGTCCACGTTTTTCGTTTGACAGATTTTCACACAGCATCCAGTTTATTTAATCATTTGGTAGTTTCACCGTTCTCATACAAAGCTGCTTCTTACTGTATTCAAAATTCTGTACTGTAGATTTTTCTGGAAAATTAGATACATACAACGTAACTGAATCCACGCTATGAACATCAATGAATAGATGACATGACAGTAATATTAATTGCCTGCCTTGCATAAAGGAGCGTTCTTTTAAAAGTTCCCATATCATGTGCAGTGCAATCAATAGATAACACGGCTGGTATAGTGACATAATAACACACGCGCGCACGCACGCACGCTCTGAGATAAATATTTCCTTACCACATATGTAGGGGCTACTGACTATTGGATGCAAGCAAATCATAACCTGTTCAACACCACTGAACATTCCTTTGATCATTCTATTACAACAGATGTCGCTCTGAAATATGCATCTCGTCTCTCTTTCGTATTATTTTCATATTGGCGTTCTTAAGGCACGTCATTGGTGCACTAACGTCAGCCGACGCCATTATTGTTTCAACAGTAAACTCGGTTCGTGTTCCACCGGGCTCTTTTATGAAGGAAATCGGAATCTCGCGATTAGAATGTATTTTTCTTACTGAAATCCTGGCAACGGAATGAATTTCATGTATTTTGTACGTCGTAATTTCGATTACACTTCCCCCCCCCCCCCCCCCGGGGCGACCTTGGATACGTTCCTTTGAACTATGGCGTCACAACCATAATTCGCATGAAGCGAACTGTCTTGTGGGATGTAACGTAGTGTAGTCTGGCAGATATAGTTAATTTTTACCGACTGTACCGCGCATCATCCTAAAAGGCTTCATATTCGCCGCCCTAAGAACTTGACATTTCACCACAATTAACATGATCTTCATAGTGGCAACCTAAACTTTCAGTTCGATTGGGATGCAATGCTAGATAGATTTATTTCGATCCTGAAGATTAACATATCCGAAACGTTGGTAACCATGTACAGGACTACTTTCTAGTCGTCCCAATCCACAAGACCACACGAGAGACATTTCCTTCGTTAGAATGTTTCGAGTCATTGTCCAGGTGAAATGCCGCTGAGCACGCAGTGAGCCACGCCGTACGCTGCATGCGCAACAGTCCGGAAGCTACTAAGAACATAACATGAAGTCCTGATCGCTGCAAGTTAAGTGTTCATTTGACACACACACGAGAATTTACGTAATCCTGTGACATGAGTTAACATCATGAGCAAGGGAAGAAAGACAGTTCATCTTAGTCATTGTCAAGATGGCTTTCTTCTGGAATGTTGCACCTCGTAGTCTAGTAAAAGGTCAGTAAACGTAACACCATAACATTCGAGAAGACAGTCATGCTTGCAAACTCACCGCCGTGAGAACTAAGCCATTGTGTCCAGAATATTGTCTCCGAATTAGCTCTTGTTTTGAGAAGTTAGTGGGATATAATTTGTTTAATTTCCGAATTATTTAGTTTCATATGATTTAATATACAGCCTAATCTTGCAATTATTAACTTAAGAGGCAAATTTTGATCTGTCAATAAGAACTTCTATGGGTCTAAGGTTGGTAGCACAGTTTATAAGGACTTGCAACTTCATTCTTAGCTTGTGGGACAGATTTTTAGGTTAGAAACTGAGATACAGTATGACAGTTACCAAGATAACCTTACAGGACATAGAATGAAATTACAACTGTCACAGGATTGGAAAAATGTTCTCGCTGTAATATAAATTCTCTTATGTACAATTTCCAGTTCCTGTAAGCAAATTAACAAAATTTATAGTTGAATGTAAACATTGCTTAGACCATTGTTTGTCTTTTTCAGTACATGTCTGATGGAAGTGCAAAGTAAGTGCCTTGCTGGATAAAGATGGTAATATCCTTTGTGTTATAGGTCAAAATTCTCTATGTAAGGAACCTCTTGCTGGCTACAACAGAAGAAACAATATGGAAGGCCATGGAATCCGTGCAAGGTCCAGAATGCCTGGAGAGAGTGAAGAAGCTGAGGGACTTTGCGTTTGTACACTTCTCAGATCGAGATAGTGCCAAAGCCGCTATGGAATATTGGGACAGTAAGTATTATTGTAGCACTGATATGTTCCGTAACGTAGGTGATGGGCACTCTCGGACATTTATTCGTTCTGCAGGATGTGGCCGCCTTCAAGAAGGGAACGGCTGTGCAATCAGTCTGCCGTTGATCCAGTACTCCCATCGTGAAGCGTGCTTTCTTTGTCGTTAAAGACATTAAATTCTGTACTAGTACGACATTCTTTATAGTTTGGTGCTGTTAGGTTAGGTTTGTATTTGAGTGGAATGTAATTGGATTATCGGCTATTGCAAGTTTTTGTGGTTAGGATTTTCAAGGATTCTGTTGGGGTTCTGACGATGGTGTTATGAAGTCGGGTTTATCGGGTTTTTGGACTCCGTCCATCGTCAAAGGTTAAAATGTGTACGATGTTGGGTTCTAGTTATTTTAAACGGACTTAACAGAGTGGGTGCCCCTGCCCCATACACCTGAAGATGAAAACGAATCTGGTTTTTGAGACGTACGCATTTTAGCCTTGTATGATGGACAGAGTGGAAAAACCCAATAAACCCGACAGGTTTTTTGTGGTTTTCAAGATTGCTGATTCCTCTTCATTCGATGTTACTCTACCTTTCTTGCATTTCCATGATGAACGCACAGTATGCAGAGATTCCATAGCAACCAGCTCTCTCGGTTGCCATCGAAACTGACGGGAACATGTGGGGCGCACAACTGCATTGCTCCTCTGAGGTCACAGCTTTCTCCGAGACAAACTCGCTATACTAGTGGATGATTTTCAGCTTTGTATTCACCCAGTCCTCAGAATTAAATCACATACTTCACAAGTACGAGTGAGACGTCGTACCATTGACCTAAACTTGTACGTAATTTTACGCGATTAAACATCGGACAGCAGAGAAAATGAGAGGCGCAGAAATCCTGACAGATTTTGTTGCTCCTTTCTTTTTGAGTTATGTAATTTATATCTGAAAATATCTAAACCTTTTTAAGCCTTTGAATATGTGATTTTTATGTAGAAAAGGAATTGGATGGTTCAGTCGTGGAGATCACGTGGGCAAAGCCAGTCAACAGAAATCCTCAGCATCAGTTGAAACACGTTTCACACGGTGGATATCCGCAGACACAGTACGTGCTTCCGCCAGGGATGGGTCCAGCTGCCAGCTTCCACACTCCTTTCATGAAAGCGTATAATGACTGTGGGTAAGGATTTTAATTAAGAAACTAACATTTGCAGTAAATTACAATTCGAAGCAGTTTGTGTCTTATATTGCAAAAAAAGTCATTTTGATTGGTTTTAATTATTATTCTCACTAAATGTTGAAACTTTTAATTTCTTTTATTGCCTGTAAAGTTTAACTGGAGAACCGAAGGATGCCAGAATAACAGTTTAGGATTTTTCTTTGTTTCGTCGGTTCACTGTTACTCTAGAGGAGAGATTTTATTCTGTAAAGTAAAACAAAATAAAGTTGTTCTACTGTACGCCAAGTAGGAGCTTGTGGGGAGAGGAGGTATAGCAGAAGACGGCAGTCTTCAGACTCACCGCTGTGAAAACTTGAAAACTTACAGGAGGTATAGCTCCTACTCATTCTTAACCTTGGCACCAGATGGGGGTGAGTGGTCAGCGTCACGCCCCAGCTGCGCTTTGCCCCTAGGAAAGGACCCAGGTGCCCATCGGATAGGAGGCTGGGTCGGCCCCAGAGTCGGTCTAGACGCGGAGGCTAGAGGAAAAATCCTCTGCCTCCCGTCGGGGATCAAACCCTGGTCTTCGAGTCCGTAGCCAGTCACTATACTGACTGAGCTACGCCGGCTTGTGATGCTATTATGCAGAAGGGATAAATAAGTTGCTGGATATGTCCAAAATTTATGTTCTTTCTGTTCGGTGTTTGTCTGGGTTGCTTCCGAGATATCTCAGGCTGATGATTTTTGCACAAAAATGTTAATCTGAGTTAAATCAGGTTGTTTTGCAATAATAAGCATTACAATTACAGTGTACAGTGTGATTAAGTATTTTTTTGTCTAAATGCCTATCAATAATTTCATTTTTGTGGGTATATTACAAACATGAATTAAAAATTAATAGGACAGGCAAAGGGGAAAAGTTTAACGCAGATGAAATTCTTGGCAAGGGATAAGAAGGAATGGAGGAGGTGGACCGACCAATCGACCCTGACGCTATAAAGGCAAAAAGGGAGATGAGAAAGAAGAATAAGAATTAAAAATTATTTTTTGTTATGTTTTCATTATCAGGGACGGGGTGAAACGCACGCACGCACGCAAACAAACTTTTAAGTACACTGAATATTCCTGAGGTTGCTATTTCAAGTATGACTTAAGACAGAAATTCTGTTATAGGCTCGAGAGTTTATGAATATATATTTTACAGGACTCAAGGAAGCCCACATGTGCAGAGTTCAAGCAGCTGGAGAGGTGGCAGAATGTACGTAGCGGCACCTTCTTCAGTTATCGGATCCAAATTTGGTAACAGAGCCCCAGAGGTACGTTTCAAGAAATAAATTCTGGCAGAGTTTATAATGCACACATTCTTCAAATGCGTCCACGCATACAGGCGTACTAATAGGTTTAAAGATAGTCAATTATTAAGGATCTGACGTTCAAAGACGCACGCTTAAGCCAGGTTTATAATCCACCACACTGAATTTCACGTGCTGCGCCTGTTGCGTCAGTTGGGAGACTGAACGCTGGATGTCCACGGTTAGATCACTTGGGGATAGCAGCCCAGAGCATGAAGCTGACCACTTACTGCCTAGGTTAGGTTAGGTTAAGAATGAGTGTATCTTTATCTTCACGGCACGATTCTTTAGACAGGGACAATGTCCTCGACTTAAGTTGTGGTATGGCAGGGGTTCTCATACTTTTCTGCGGACTTTCGAGCTGCCGGGATATGAAAGTAGACGGTCATTAAAATTAACACCAGATGAGAGGACGTTATTAAAATGGATGGAAATAAGATGGTATTGCGTGTACTGGATTTATTTTGCCGAGGAAAGGGATCAGTTGCAGGCTCTTGTGAACACGTCAATGAACCTTTAAGTTCCATTAAACCTGGGCAGTTCTTTTGTCTGGCTTAGCGACTATGAGGTTCTCAAAAAGTACTCTGCTCCCTGGAGTTTGTTGAACTTACTATGCAGACGAGTTCACATTGCAGTTTATTAGAAATATTTAATTAATTAATCTTGTCCGTCTAATCACAATTTAAAATTTAAAATTAAGATAATTAAAATACCATGTGATGCTCCTTATCAAAACATTCGATTTACATTTAGAATGTTTCGATAAGGAGCATCACATGGTATTTTAATTATCTTAATTTTAAATTTTAAATTGTGATTAGACGGACAAGATTAATTAATTAAATATATATTTTCACAATATGACGCAACTCTACCATCTTTATTAGAAATGTTAACTTCCCGTGCAAACAGGTTTACATGTTACATGATTTATGTCATTAGCGAGACTGCTTTTTTCCTGACAGGTTTTTCGATATCAGGTTTAATTACTCTCGCTGAAATTTGCATGCATTCCTCGGTGTTTATCAGTAAGGCACTTGCAGATTTGACGTCCGTAATACTAGAAGTTGTTCGTAGGTACAAGTACTGCCAGATATTGAGAACATTAACAAAGTGCATTTTCTCAGTTAGTGTGATTTACATAATTTTAATAAAACTTCGTAGTTAATATTTATTATGGTGGACCCAAATATACAGAACGCATGTGCACTTGCGAGTGCGTACGTCTCGTCTGCTTTGAATTTCGCGATATTTGGTAATATTGGGTTGTCTCCGTAGTAATTGCTTTTATTCAAATTCAAAGTGCCGAACCACATTTAGTATTCCATTTAATTTATTATGTAATATTAACGAGGTACCGCCACGGTGGTCCAGTGGTTAGAACGCTGGCCTTGTAATCCTGGGGGTCTCGGGTTCGATTCCCGGCGGTGCCCGAATTTATAACTTGTGTTGGGCAAGGCCGTGGTCTAGGCAACACGGAGTTTTCCTCCGTGGCATCCCAACAATTACTCCATTCACACACAGAAGAAGGCAATGGCAAACCACTTCTGGATCATCTGTCAAGAACGTATATGAACAGGTCCCAGTCCGAGAAAAGGATGGGAGGATAACATTAATATGGACCTGTCGTCAGACAGAACACTAAATAAAAATAGTCGTAGATGGGAGGATAACATTAATATGGACCTGTCGTCAGACAGAACACTAAATAAATAAATAATTAATGAGGTGTTACTTGCATAGTTCGCTAATTTGCACCTGGTAAAGAGGTTGCATGTAATGTTATTCTGCTTTGTGCTTAGTTTTGTTGGAACCAAATAGCGGCAGTGTCTACGTAAGAATGCTCTATATTCTATTTCTATATTGGGTTCTGTGAACTGACATTTGCTTCTTATAGGTACTTTCCGAATATTGTCAAAAAAACAACTGGGGCGAACCTTTCTACAATTTGATGGCAATCCCCTCCGTGCAAGAGGACAAACAGTACATGTGCCAGGTAAGTTCCGTGTATTGAAATGGGGGGTTATGGGTGTGCAGGGTTTATATTCATATTCAACTGTTACTGTGGGTTTAGTTTCTTCGTTACATTCCAGGAATTATATGGTGCTCAGAGGGAATTTGTTGGTATAAGATGTTCATGATCATCACTGTGAAACTCCCATGCTGTCAGAACACGGACTATTCTTTATAAAAATTCAAAATGGGACAAATTTTGGTACATAAGTAACAAAAGAGGCAGATGTAGTCTGTAGGATTTGAGGTGTTCGCGGCGGTGAGTCTGAAGATGGCTGTCTTCTGGGTTGTTGCTCCGTGTAGTCTGGCGGAAGTTTACCGACGTTTCAGAGGTCCTTGCTGCCTCTATCATCATCACTTATCGCCCTGATGGTGGAGGCAGCATTACCTCTGAAACATTGTTGGACATCGACCAGACTACACGGCGCAACAACCGAGAAGACAGAAATCTTCATACTCTGATGATGGAGGCAGTATGACCTCTGAAACGTTGGTTAACATCGACCAGACTACACGGCGCAACAACCCAGAAGACAGAAATCTTCATACTCTGATGATGGAGGCAGTATGACCTCTGAAACGTTGGTTAACATTGACCAGACTACACAGCGCAACAACTCAGAAGACAGAAATCTTCATACTCTGGTGACGGAGGCAGTATGACCTCTGAAACGTTGGTTAACATCGACCAGACTACACGGCGCAACAACCCAGAAGACAGCCATCTTAAAAGTCGATATTATCGGCTTTAAGAATTGGAAGATGTAACATATGTACGGTTAACCTCTGTCATATGGGAATTGGAGATGAAATCCCTGTATTGTGGGGCTGTCAGCTGGATTTCTGGTCCAGGTTAACAGTATCTTAGTGCAGCACACAGCAAGCTGGATCACAAAATAAGCTGTTTTGCATGGATGATGAAGGTTAAAAGGCATATAAGGTACTATGTTGGCAGCAGTGAGCTTTCAAGTACGTGCTCAAGTTATTTTTATGTCCCTGATCACAGTTGGTAGGATCTCTCTCTCTCGATTCAAACTGGGTACGTAATTTAGAGTTGTCACAGCTCGAGGTTGTGTTCAGTTACGCTGTGTTGCAGGTAACGATACCGCAGCACCCTGGGGGCCAGTTGCAGTTTCAGACTCCCAAGGTTTCTTCGTCTGCGGAAGGAGCCAAAGTACTTGCAGCTGAAATAACGCTTAGTCATATGAGTGCAGCTGCCGCCTTTGCTGAAGGTACTGTGTGCATCCAGTCTGCACAGAGCCACGTGTCGACGCACGCCTTAGTTTTCGTTAGTTTATCGTGAAAAGAACCTTTGGTGCTTCTCTTTCTTTCGTATTAGGTGGAAGGACTTGCATTTTTTTTCATATGGTCAGTTGCTTTTTAGAAAACTAACAAAATTTAATTTCAGTTGAAACATTTGTCTTATCAGCTATTCATACAACTGAAATCTTGTTGACGCAAATGCCATTTACTGAAAGTATTCTGGAAATTCTGTTCAGGTCTGTGTTACTTCAGTGTGACACTACTTCATGAAGCAGAACTGAATGTTTGGAAATATTCCTGAAGTAGCTTGCCATAGATCAGGGTGATTAAGTCAAGAAGAATGAGATGGGCTGGGAATGTAGCGCGCATGGATGGGACAAGAGGTGTGCATCGGGTGTTGGTTGGGAAGCCTGAGGGGAAGAGACAGCTGGGGAGACCTAGACGTAGATGGGAGGATAATCTCAGGCGGGATCTATGGGAGATAGGAGTTGAAGGAGACTGGATTTTGTTGGCCCAGGACAGGGTCCGGTGGAGGGCTTTGGTTAATTCGGTGATGAACCTTCGGGTTCCATAAGCCATCTAGTTCTATTTGGGAAGCCTGAGGGGAAGAGACCGCTGGGAAGACCTAGACGTAGATGGGAGGATACTCTCAGGCGGGATCTATGGGAGATAGGAGTTGAAGGAGACTGGATTTTGTTGGCCCAGGACAGAGTCCGGTACAGGGCTTTGGTTAATTCGGTGATGAACCTTCGGGTTCGGTAAGCCATCTGGTTGGTTGGGTCCACTATTTGGGAAGCCTGAGGGGAAGAGACCTCCGGGGAGACCTAGACGTAGATGGGAGGATAATCTCAGGCGGGATCTATGGGAGATAGGAGTTGAAGGAGACTGGATTTTGTTGGCCCAGGACAGGGTCCGGTGGAGGGCTTTGGTTAATTCGGTGATGAACCTTCGGGTTCGGTAAGCCATCTGGTTGGTTGGGTCCACTATTTGGTAAGCCTGAGAGGAAGAGAACTCTGGGGAGACCTAGACGTAGATGGGAGGATAATCTCAGGCGGGATCTATGGGAGATAGGAGTTGAAGGAGACTGGGTCCGGTGGAGGGCTTTGGTTAATTCGGTGATGAACCTTCGGGTTCCGTAAACCTTCTAGTTAGTTAGCTTGCCATAGAAAAGTTTGTTCATGACATGTCATTTGAATGTTACTGGAGATCTGTAACACTTATTTGGTGGGGTATATTCAGGTGCTTAAAGGGTCATCCTTAGAAAAGTTGTCATAATTCCCTTCCTTTCAGGTATGTCGATTATCTCGACTGCGTAACCCGCAGTGTGGTTGATACCTTAAGCTTTGTCAGCACCAGGGCAGTATTTAAGGATAAGTTTAATTTCTTTAGTATTGAACATAGCTCTGATTGCAGCGATGGATCATTCCTCTACATACTCGGTAAATGTTCTTTCTTTAACCTGGAGTGTAAGACCAAATTATGTGAAGTCGGCGATTTCCAAGCATTAAAATCCACCGATGCAGGTATTAAACCAAACATATTCCATCCTTTTCTGATTTTCATTGTTTTTGTCTTACTTTTTGACAACTTCATCTTCTAATGACTAATGTTGAAGGTTATTAGTGGGTAGATACCATTGTTTGAGAGAATCATACTTCCTCCATCTTCAGGGAAGCCCTGAAGATGGAGGCAGTCTTTGGTACATACAAATCCACACGGATCTGGTACTCGGTAATGAACGTGTTATCTGATCGGAAGGCCTGGAAAAAAATAGCGAGCACGTCACTCTGCACACCAGGCCTGATCGGCTAACGCGCAGGCAATAACATGAAATTGGGTCAGGTAGATACTGAGCATTGACAGGATCTCCTACAGCTACAGTACCCTGAGGATGAAGATGGTTCTCGAAACATTGGTGTTTTCTTCATTAAGCCACCTTACACGGCTGGTAGCCAGAGAATTTATTATACTTAGTTGTCGTGAAAGCAGGTCGTACAAATGATGATAGCACTTGCATGTGTCATGAACTAATTTGTATAATAACAACACTTGCATGCGTCATGAACTAATTTGTATAATAACAACGATGCTTATTTTAGCAATTTTTATTATAATTTATAGACTTATTTAGTGGACTACAAGAAAAAGTAATTGACAGCAGTTGTCTTGATAAATGAAGATCATTAGGTGTGAAAAAGTTTCAAATGTATGTTACA